TGCGAAGACATTTACGAAGGATACAATTTACGCGATGTCATCGCGCCTCGTTTTAAGTCTCGCGATGCGAGAATGCAAAAGCGCACACGCGAGTAAAGTATGTCGCCCCGCGGCTACCTATCTCTCATCACAGGGGAATCTACAAACGCAAGAGAACTCCCTCTCTCTCTCTTACTCTGTCTCCCTCTTTCTCTCTCTCTCTCTCTCTCTCTCTCTCTCTATGCGATTTTTAATCAAAATATTATATTATTATACTTATTATATTATTTATCCACAGCAACTGTAAGTAAACTTACTATGGTGGAAGCTACTGCACAAAGTTATATTTTTTTCTTAGCCGGATTTGAAACAAGTTCGACGACAGCCACGTTCGCTCTATACGAATTAGCTCAGCATCAAGATATACAAGACAAAGTTTGCAAAGAAATTGATGAAATATTAGCAAAATATGGTGATTTGACTTACGATGCTGTGAATGAAATGGCGTATCTTCATAAAGTAATAAAAGGCAAGTATAGACTATTGCATATTATTTCCAGTTATTTCATGACATAAATAAAAAAAATGGAGATTTTATATTTTGATAATATTTTGTTTTTTATAAGTATACTTAATTCCATTTGGAAATGTAAAATTTTCAACCTAAATTCTCAAAAATTTTTCTAGTTCACAGCAGTTTTTTTTTATTGCTCTGCACTATACAAAAATATAAAGTAATTTTTGTGTACTTATGAAATCTTTAACAATAAGTTTTTATCATAATAGAAGTCAGATTGTACTTCATTTGTCTTTCATATATTCATAAATGTACTAGTTTTGAAACAACGTATTATTGTTTAATAATTCATAACTTTTATATAGTGAATGAAATAATCTTTTTACTAGAATATAATACTATAGAGAGTATATAAATTTTGTAAAAAAGTAGTATAATGATAATGGCTTTAAAATATTGAAATTGAGTGTCTAAAAATAAAAATTTTTATGAATAAACATTCATGTTTTTTCAGAGAAAAAAATAATAAAATAACTTCGAAAGCAGAATAATTACATTTTCTTTATTTCGACTACAATATAATGAGTATAAAAATACAAATAGAAATGTGGCACAGAAATACAAAAATATGTGCGCTTTAAAAAATCTTTATATCTTTATTAAAAATAATATAAGGCAATAAAATTATTCAAATATATTGTTGCGCCCGTGCTTCGCGGTGTCGGCCGAGTTACGCCGACTAAAATTATCCGCAGAAGCGGACAGAGAAATTTACTCCTTTAAAAACGTTGTTTTTTGGCGGGACTCTGGGAGTGAAATTGACGTAAGATTGACGTATGCTCTGGTCTATTAAGAGTTCAATAAACCGTTGCAG